CTCTCTCTCTCTCTCTCTCTCTCTCTGATAGATACCGAGAAGTCAGGCAGCGGGAGGGTGAGGAAGAGATGGCGGACTTAGAGGAGGAAGAAGAAGAAGAAAATCTCTCTCTCTCTCGTAGTCCGGTACTAACCTGGAAAGGTGGCGCCTGGCTGCAGGTATGTCGAAGACGAAGCTGGAGCTATGGCGCCGCAGGTGAGTCTCCCTGGCCTCCGCCAACCATCTCTCTCTCTTTCTCTCTCTCTCTCTAAGCTCCTACTAGCGCCCAGCGCTGAAGACTACTACTATCGCTACTCCTCCAGCGTGCCGCTGCCAGATCTTGAAGACTGCCTCCTGCCTTCTGCACGTGAAGTGCCTGTCAACTACCTGCAGCCTACAGGGCGGGTCAGCATTATATAGTGCTGGCCCATCTGCGAGGCTGCTCGTGCCTATGCCAAAACGTGCCAGACCCTGGGGTTGACGCTCCACAAAATAGGCCTTAAAGGCCTGAGCTAAAACCCCGGCCTGGTGCCTGAGTTTCAGGGTAGGTCGATCTTGCGAGGGCCTGAAAATGGCCCGTCGTTTTCAGGCTGGAGGCCGAAACGACACAGGGCCTGAAACAGGCCCTACCCCTACGGACCCTTAGTCTACCAGGTCGGGATCTGCTGGGCCCGTGTGGTAAGGAGTATGCCACATTAGAGCACACTAGTTAGCCCCCAAAATCACGATTTCGACCTCACTGCCGACAATCGAATTTTTTTTCTATTCTTGGATTTTGTTTTCTCGCTACTTCTGTTGTTGAAAATTGCAATAGCATAACATGATACTAACATCTGATATTTCCATTTTCGTTTTTCTTCTGAAAATTCGAAATTTCGTTTTTAGAAAATCCGGAATATCTTTTTCCGAAAATTTCAATTTCCTTTTGCAATTTCCCGTTGTTTAGAAAACCGGAATATTTTTTTCCGAAAATCCTTTTTTTTTTTTAAACGGTACGGGAAATCCCTTTTGCAGTTATCATTCTCCAACTGTGAGTACTCTCATCTGAGTAATTCCGAATATTTGCTGTATTTTATTTTTTTTTCGGAATTCTCATCGGAAAATCATTTGCAGTCTGAAAGTTCGATTTTTTTTTTTTTTTTCCATTGATAATTTTGCACTTCAAAGGAGGTTGGGAGACCTACTGAACTTGCAAAACCCGGGATTTTTATTTTCTCAAAAATTTGCCAAGTCCAAACTTTTCTTTTTTGATTAGTGGCTCCTTATCTGGGCGATTTATCCCCACCCACCCCTCCCCACCTACATTGTTGCCCCCTCTGGTCTTACCTTCTCTATCTGTCTCCGGGTACCCCTGCTGCAGCATTGGTAAGTTGCCACGTCAGCAGGCCACATCAGCAGACCACGTTAGCAGGCCACGTCAGCAGGCCACGTCAGCAGGCCACGTCAGCAGGCCACGTCAGCCGCCAGCAGTGCCACGTCAGCAGCAAGGAGTACCACGACAGGAGGCCCCCGGCCTGGTCTATGCTCTTGCGCTCGCAAACAGCCGTCATGGACCAGAAGTCCGGGGAAACGGACGAGGCTTATCAGGCCCGGATGCTGCTTCTGATTACCGAAGCCAAGCAATGGTCGGATGCAGTAGCAGCCGCCACAAAGAAGAAGGCAGAGGACGCCGAGAAGGCACGTCTGTTGGCAATTGAACAACAGCGCCAGCA